GAGAATGAAAACAAGAAAACGAATTTGCATTTTCAGGAAATGAAAATGCGTCTGGTAGATTAATTAGAAAACATCTTCAGAAAACAAAAACAATGAAAACGTGTCTGGTAGTACAATTTGAAATAATAATATGTGAGTTATTTTTATGAAAACGTTTTCCACGAGAATGAAAACAACTTTTTCTGTTTTCTACAAGTACACGTGAACTTGTTTTCATTTTATGAAAACATTCTCAGTGTTTTCTGTTTTTGGGCCACCGAATGTGTTTTTGCCTCATTTTTGTTCTCTGAAAATGAAAACAACCTCTTAAAACGTTACCGAACAGGAATGTAGCCAAAAAATTTGAAGAATGTGATTTTGGCCCTAAATAAGCAATACCAAACGGTAGCTAACTTTTATAGTAATTTAATTGGGCTTAGCTAATATGGGTTTTGTCTGGTAGTACAATTTGAAATAATAATATGTGAGTTATTTTTATGAAAACGTTTTCCACGAGAATGAAAACAACTTTTTTTTGTTTTCTACAAGTACACATGAACTTGTTTTCATTTTATGAAAACATTCTCAATGTTTTCTGTTTTTGGGCCACCGAATGTGTTTGCCTCATTTTTGTTCTCTGAAAATGAAAACAACCTCTTAAAACGTTACCGAACGGGAATGTAGCCAAAAATTTTGAAGAATGTGATTTTGGCCCTAAATAAGCAATACCAAACAGTATCTAACTTTTATAGTAATTTAATTGGGCTTAGCTAATATGAGTTTCAATGGGTCTAAAAAAATTGGGCTGGAGTTGCCAGGCCTAGAAGTTGCTTTCTTTTGTCTTTGGGCTTCAGCATTGGTCAAATAGAAAACTCACTTTTGTTTATTTATTTATTTGTAATTTAGATGTGAAAACATATGAGCATGCAACGGACTTGCAGGGCACCCCATAAGACGCTATTTATTTAACAACTCTAATTCTCCAATTAAATGTGGCGCCGAAAAAAAAAATTTGTTTTCATAATTTTTTGTTGTCTATAAAACAGTGCACGGCGCTTTTGGTTAGTTTGAATCTTGATTGAAGTACAAAAGTCACAGAAATTTAGAATCAGCAATGAAGCGGTCAAGAAACTGCATCAAGATGAACATGCTTATGTTCTTTCCCTCAACATCTTTGCTTCACGAACTCTAAATCAGCAATGAAGCGGTCAAGAAACTGCATCAAGATGAACATGCTTATGTTCTTTCCCTCAACATCTTTGCTTCTAATGGCTTCATTCTTCTTCTTCCACTTGGGCTTCTCTTTCGGCCACCAAATTCCACACCCCACAATCAAGAACGCTTGCACCACTCTTCTTCACCCATCTCTGTGCTTCACTGCTCTTGCCTCTGTCAAAACCCATGACCATTTCACTGCATTTCATCATCTTCTTGAGGCCAACATCAACCAAACTGTGGAATCTGTGGAAAGTACCAGGCAGAGCATTAAGGGTCTTCTGAAGCTCCAAGATTTGTATTTGCAAGAGAGGAATGCGCTGAAAGATTGCCTAGAGATGTTAGACCAAACCCTTTATGAACTTGGCCAGGCAGTTGATGATTTGCATGGATTTCGTGTGTCCTACGGTAACCTCAAGACTCTTCTTAGTGCAGCTATGACAAATGAGAACACTTGCACTGATGGGTTTTTTGAATTGGAAGAATTTGATTCAGAAAATCAAATCGGTCTCAAAGGTCACCTCCAAGGCTTGTTGGCTCCCATCTCTGAATTGATGAGCGATTGCTTGGCCATGATCAGATACCAAGAACAAGTCCTGAATGAACAGAAGAGGCTTGTTACCAAGAAACCAAAGAAGAGGTTCCCAATGTGGATGCTGCCCGGTGATCGAAATCTGATGCAGAGAGAACCAACAATGAAGGCTGACATTGTTGTTGCCGCTGATGGCAGTGGAGATTATGAGACTATTGGTGAAGCACTGAAGATGGCTCCTAACATGAGCAGGACCAGGTTTTTGATTAAAATAAAGGCAGGAGTTTACAATGAGACTGTAGAGATTTCCAGAGAAAAGGCTAATGTCATGTTGGTTGGAGATGGGATGAACACAACCATAATCACAGGGTCTAAAAGCTTTGCGGATGGGTTTTCCACCTTTGCTACAGCCACTTTAAGTAAGTAACAAATTTTCGGTTCAGAAAATTCTTGTGTTCTTGACATTTTTACATGTATTTGAAATTTGATGAGTATTGAATTGAAAGTTAAAGAATTTATTGTTCTGATCTTTGCAGCTGTAATTGGGGACAGGTTTTTAGCCAGGGACTTGACCATAACCAACACAGCAGGTTCAAAGAAGTTCCAGGCCGTTGCTGCAAGAGTGACCTCTAACTCTGCCTTCTATCATTGCAACTTCAGTTCTTATCAAGACACCCTTTATGTTCATTCCCTCCGCCAATTCTACCGCGACTGCATAATCGAAGGCACGATTGATTTCATTTTCGGAAATGCAGCTGCAGTCTTCCAAAACTGCACAGTAATTGTTCGAAAACCGATTCCCGGTCAGAAATTGATGATCACTGCTCAAGGGAGAACAGACCCAAATCAAAACACTGGCATTTCGTTGCAGAACTGTACCATTGTGGCTGCACCAGATTTCAACAAGACTGAGAGGCAAAATTTCACAACTTTTTTGGGTAGGCCTTGGAGAAATTATTCAAGGACTATAGTCATGAAGAGCTACTTGGGGGACATGATAAACCCACAAGGGTGGTCAAAGTGGGATGATTATAGCACTGTGGAAACTGTGGAGTACATAGAGTATTTGAATTTTGGACCTGGATCAGATACAAGGCACAGGGTCAAATGGGGAGGCTATAAAAATAATTGCAGTGAAGAGATTGCGAGGCAGTTTACAGTTGGTTTGTTCTTACATGGAGCAGGTCATTGGCTAAAGACAACAGGCATTCCACTTGCTTATGGTTCATAAGGAAGATAGTGCGAGTGAAACAGAAATGATACATATTTCTGTTATTCTTGAAAATAATGTAGCATTTCCTGCCTCTTAACGTTGAGAAGTTGTCGATATTAGGGTTTAAGTTTTAACCGTAAAGGATTAGCACCACTAGCAGTAAAGAACGGAATTAGGGTTTAAGCCTAGCAAATACAAAGACTTTCAACAGAAAAAATCGCCTTGAATTTGATTTTTTGGGATTAAAAATGTAAAGTACAATCAAAATCCTAATGGTGGTTGTTCATTCTATACAGTACTGTAAACATCATGTAGTGTGTTGGCAAAAAGGTAAGAACAGAAACAAGCAAAATGAGCTAAACTCACGAGCACGTTGGTGCGATCATGAGATAAGGCAAGTAGATTGAGAATATGTACTCTACTCATTTCCCAGTTACAAAATTTGCCTGCAGCCTTTGGGATTTATATATACACCATGGCCGCCAGCTTGTTGACCTATAGCATTAGAGATGACAAGCTCCCATGAAGCATTTTGAGCTTTCAATGACCTTTCCCATCTGAATTTATTTCATCTGTTTGTACCTTCTTTCATACATTGAATTCCAACCTCAGGCTGTTCCTATTTCAAGGTGAAAGTACACAAGCAACCAGAATCAGTAAGCAACGACGAGACTGCCATGCTCATACTGATTCACCATTAAACCACCATCTGCGTTGCGAATAACATAACACTATATATACTGTTCTTTTAATTCTTCACTTCTTCTCAAATCTGTTCTATTCAGAGGCTGCCTTGGGTGCAGAATTAGTGCTAAAAATAAGGAGAATGCAAAACCAGTTAGACCGCTAAATGGTTGGAATGGGTGCGTCCCCATAATCCAATGAGGAAAGCTAGCCTGGTAGGTCAGAAAGCCACCCTTCTGTAAGATGAAACTTGAAGCCATAATTCCTGCACGAAACCCGATTGGAATGGAAAGGCTGCCTTGGTTTCTTTGTCGAGCACCTGATAAACTCAGAGATAGAAGCCATAGTCCTGGTATTGATAGTGGAGATCTGAAACCCCAATGAAAGAAAAGACTGTTAAATTTATCTTGCACATGGTCGGCAGAAATCATTCTACAGAACATTCCAGTATTGCATTGCATATATCTTGTATAGGGCAAATATCCATTCCAATTTCCAAACAGAAGACAAAAGAACGCACGAATTCTAGAAGGCAATAAGTAAAATGAGTAGAAAACAACCTCTGGAATAAAGAGAATGCAAGTCCTGATATAATTATTCCTTGATAATATCCAAGATCGGCAGCAATTTCTTGGGGCAACCATGACCTGAAAAGCAATTCTTCCACAAGAGCAACACCAGTTGCTCTTAAAAATCCTTGACCAACCAGCATAAGCACTTGCCCATAAACTTTGATCCGTGTCATGGCATCCAAAGAAGATAGAGTAGAGGGCCAAGCGAGATTCACACAGCCAAGTAATGCATTTACAGATTGTATTGATAACACAAGCATGACTCCACCAATCAAGCCCTTCAAAAAATCGCATAACTGCAAGAAAGGAACTGAAAAATCATCTAGCTGCAAGTAATGAATATTATCTTATTTTGCATGAACCAAGCAACACCAAATTACATTGTTCTCTCGCACAAAGACTTGAGCATGTAAAGACAAATCAGATCTTCAATTAGCAAGCTCAAGAATGGAGATATATAACCAC